GTAAATGTTTTACCACATCATTAACACAAGTTAGGAATGAGATCATCTCAACCAGTTCAATTGAAAGACAAATTACATTTGCATCTGTCCAACACAGATAAATAATATCAGTACTGTATGCTACCTCTTGATTATAACATCCTATTATCAAAGTTAAATGACTTTACTGAAAAGAGAATATGATTTGCAAAATCCTGTTTCAATGATGCCAATGATGTGTTTACCTGTGAACACAATCATTCGAATATGTAAATTAAGAGAAATTAAATTATGAGCGCTGGTTCACAGATATATTACGGGGAAGCATTTTAAATCTAATACTTAAGGGGGGATGTACCAGTTTAAGTTTATCACTGAAAGGGGCAATAGGGTATTGTTTCCACAATCTCACAAGGATCCATTGGTGGAAAGTTTGTTATGACTCTAGGCAGAAATGTCCTTCTCATATAATTCCGCAGTGTAAACTACAATAGACTGTTTTTACTGCAGACAATTTAGGAATAGCACAGGTGTATTGAATTACATTAACGACGGCTGCATACAATTTAATTATGCCAGTTGCAGGGCTGTGCTACTGTCCTACTCGTTAGCGTTATTAGCTACACCTGCGTCTCCTGCTTAACGAGTCAAGATGTTTTACAGGAAAAATGTCTATCAATGCCACTGACTCAAATTTTATTTAGAGTTAGTTTTAAAATCTTTGGTGACCACTGTTTTCTTTCTGACATAGGAAAGTGGCCCTCAGTTGTTAAGTGGAAGATTTTTAAGCCATGAAGTGAGTGAGATGTGTGTCAGTATGAGCCGCCCTGGGAGCCGAGAACATGACAGGAAGATGAGTGAAAAGTACCATGCAACACAACGCAACATCCCCTCCAAGGACAAAAGACATGATGGTGGCTCATCATGTGTAATGTATTTTTACCCTGCACTCACACACCAAACTCAACTATTCAGGATCCATATAGAATTTCCAGCACTAGATACCTCAGAAACATCTAGACACATGACTGAGGAATGACTGAAGGGTGTAGTAGGCTAATGGACCGAATGGTGAAGCTGTGAAACACCTTGTTTCAAACTGTTTCCTGGATGCCATCAGTCACACTGCAGCAACAGGTAGCTGACCATACAGTCAATGGACTCCAACCTCTCTGTGTGCTTTAACATACGAAGTGAGAGAATCCAAAGGGAAAGGACAGGGTGGGAGCAAAAGACATGGGGATCATACTGCCCAACATTTTTTTGCAGAGTAGATATTGAACACTGTTGTTGAGGTTACTATTTATCTCATGCCGGCCAAGTTGGCACGCACATCTGGCGCTGGGTACTTAGTGCAATTATTTATGATTTCCTCCAAGATTTAAAAGCTCTTCGCCCGGCCTTGTAATGCAGTAACTGATTGCACTGCTAATGTAATTAAGGGGAGATTATGATGTCCACGTGGCACACCAGATGGTGGCATTCACAGCGATGGGGGAAGGCACAACTGGCACACCACTGCACAAGGGCAGTGAGGCGCAGTCAGTCGGAGCAGTCCAGACTCCCCACCAGACGGAGGAAAGTATATGTGTGTATGTATGTATATGTGTGTGGTGTGCATGCGTAGATGAATGTGAGTGTATGGATGTTCGTGTAATGATAAGTTGAGCAATAAAGTGTAAGCAGAGATGAGTGCATGTAAAATACTACCAAGGAAATGACTTTAGCTACAGTATAGTGACTGTCTCTATATGCATGACATGGGCATGCACTCTCTCAAAATGCACCATAGGTCAAAGCATAGGTCAAAGCAAGACCCTAGTGTTTGGTCTTGGAAGGCTATAGGGATGATAAGACATCTCCTTTTTTTTTAACTACAAAAGTGAAGGATTACAAACTGAATCCGACAGTTCCCACATTTTCAACTTGTGCAATTTAGTGCTTTAGCCAAGAAAACAGATGGCACAAATGGAAAATTAAATCACATTTGGCAAAGCCATTATGTTTCAGGAGATTTTTCAGCCAACGAAACAATGAGACTGGACAAAACTGACCTTTAATTAGAAAAAAAGCATGATATTATGGAGTCTTGCAAGGGCGTATCCTATGGGGGCACTAAGGGTATAGCTTCTTAAAGCTTGTTATTATAAGCTATTCAGGAGACACAGGGATTTCTTTATGTGTAGACAGAAAATGGAGGAGGGGGATGAGGGTCATATATGAAATGAGACCTGCAGATTTCTACACAGCCCATAATGGGTTCATACGGGTGATGGGGACATTGGGGCACAGTAGATTTCCCAAGTTGAGATAGGGATATTATTACTCTCGGGGTGGCAACACAGAAATCTCCATCTTCGGTCCCCAGACTAGTGTCAGCAAATTACAGAACACAGTGAATGACCTTTACGCACAAAAAGAAAACCTTTGCTGTTTTTTTTATCATTTGGGTGCAAAGTCGTCACTAAGGTATCATTTTGGTCCAGGGGCTCTTCTGTCATCCACTGATTACCACTCACAACTACAACATTGTTACCAGAATAGGTGTGCGATATTTTGTATGTGATCTGATGATCCAGTGTTTATGGGGTCGACTTTAACTAAGATGTGTCATAAAGCATACATGAAACAATGCGTGAACAAAGAAATCCCAGTTTTAATGAACCTTTTCCAAATGCCAGCTGCAATGCTATGCATCCTGCACTGTCTGCTCCCCCACAGAAATCTGCCACAGCCATCATTCATCTTTCCCCACAATCCTCAGCGTGCGATGTGCCGCACATTAAAACACTGTAATAGCTGATGGCTTTCACAGTTAGCATGTGTTGCTGATATCTCCAGACTCTCGACGAGTGTTTCATCACCTATTCCATAATTAGACCATTACTTTAGCAGGTGTGCACCTTCTCAGCCGGAGAATGTGTGTGTGGTTTTTTTTCTTTTTACCTTCTTCATCGTTCTTTTTCACTGACACCTGAGATTTAATCTTATCAACTTCAGCATTGCCTCAAATTCTACATAAACTGAGCATGCCTGTTTTAGTAGGTTGTCAACACCTTGAGGTAGAAGCATGTGTTTGTAGAAGCGTGTGTTTGAGGTGGGTGTTAGTGATGAGGGGGGGGGGTGTTACAGTATCCAACAAACTCTACTATCGTGGAAAAAATGTTAATTTCACATTTTATTGGTAGAATCATTTGTATATGATATGGACACACAGTAGGCTAAACATCCATATGCTGCTGTCTTACAATCTGAATATCACTGTTTAGTGGCAGGTGTTGTGTCTTCTTTATAGGTGTTCCGTTAATCATATTCAATAATCCTTGGTTTCAATTATTATCTCGACTTTCTAATTGATGGACAGTGCTTTACAAGGCTAAAGAAACTTGTAAAGCTGTAAGACATCTTAAATCTGAATATAACATAAGAAGGCCGTTAAAACAAGCAGTGCCATGTTCGTCTGCTCAGACTCTACAAATTAAAATTAGAAACGAACACTTGTCTAATAACAGCCAGATTTTGCCCTTTTAATTAACATCAACGGTAAGTGTGGAGGTGGTGAAAGTTGCCGGTCATTTGAACATCTCCTCCCTTATTAGAGAAGTGCTACAAAAATGTAAAAAAGGGAAAACTGATCACATCATGTGCAGCCATGTTAGCCCATAAATACATTTCACAGTGTGTGGCCCCAATGAAGACGCCTGCTGGCATATGGCACCATGTCACAAAAGAGAGCAACAAGTCTTTGATTAGAATAAATTAGGATAATACTTGCACAATGAAATAATTTATTTGATTGGTTTGATAGAGGTAGAAATAATAACTCGCCGATGGGAAAGCATCTGTCGCCCCATGGTGTTTTGGACGGTGTACAAAGAGGCTTTCATGTTTTTTGCTCGGGGAGATGGACATCCTAATGTTACAGCTAAGCTAATACATTGCTCTTTATCTTACTTTTATCTGATTACAGTAATGACATGTGATGATTAGAGATACAACCAACTGTCAGAGGCGTGACCCGTAGATACATCCATGTAATGATAGTCATTCAGTGAAGAACAACCTTAATTTAGTTACCATAGCCAAATTGGATCTCAAAAGTTATTGCAAAGAAATACACCCACGAGTCAATATGGTATTGTGGGCCCGGGCCTTTTTTTCTGGGTGTGTGCATAATTCACACTGACAAAGTAAATTGTCACATTAAGCATTCATATAGCTTTCCGATGGTGCTTTCATAAGATGTACTCTTCTGTTGTATTAGACGTCAAGTATCCGGTGCTGCTGTGCTGCACTCATTGAGCAGCATGTTGGGATTTTTTATCAGCAACATATTCAAGCTATAAGTGTAAATATTACAATTATATTCAAAAAGCGACTACAGTGATGATACCAAAAAGCATGGCATTTTGCAACAATACAGACACATACAAGTAAAAAAGTACTAATAAATTAGTAGTTTAAAACATACTAAGTCCTGAGTTCAAATGTTAAAAGTTAGTATTATAAAATGAATACTCAAGAATCAAAAGTGCAGTTAAAGTACTAATTCTGCAGAATGGCCCTTATAAATGTGTTTTATTATTATAATATTAATTTCTTCTTTTTTAATCATATTAAATCATATTATATCGTACAAATAAATATACCTTTTTCAATGATGTAAATCATCAAAATGGAGCAAATAGATAGTACTGAGAACATGTGTAGTACATAGACTATCCAACAGGTACCATTTGTCAAATAAAAGAAGTGGAGTAAAATTACAATATTTCCCTCTGAAATGTGTGGAGTAGTACAACCTAGCAGAAACATGGAAATACTCAAGTAAAGTTGAAGAAACCCAGAACTATACTTAATTGCAGCAATTGAGCAACTTTTATTAATTACATGCAACCACTGGTAAGGGTCCACTGTAATAAGTCAACTAAGTACATGGATTTGTCTTTCTTTGGCCACAGAAGGTGATTTAACCTATGGTTAATCATTTATTATCAGTAGTACCGGATGTGTTTACTTCCTGTACATTAGCGCGGGGTGAAGAGGTCCAAAGTTGAAAAGTTAACAGCAGGACACGTTTCAATCAGGTAAACAAATGCCAAATGATTCGTATTTTGGGTTTTGGATTATCTTTTCAACAGCTCAGACAGTTTCTAGAGGTCTTACGTTGATTATTTATTTACTCAAACAAACATTTGTATGAGCGATAATCATAGACTGGCGATAATACACAGTTGCACAGTTACCCATGTGGACCTCCGTGAAACATGTATAACAGCCATATACAGTAATGTCATTTCACTACCGAAGAGGTTTTACATTTCTGACCACTTTTACAAAGCTTTGCTAACATTTGATGATGTTTGAAATAAAACACGAAGGTAAGCCTTACCATTTCAAGCTAGCGTCCGGAGATCTCTACGTTAGTTACCAAGCAGCAAATGAGAGACGTGCTGCTTATTATTGCATTTGCATTAGCTAAGGAGAACAGAGTAACAATGTGGACAAACATTCAGTTTAAAATCTGTACATTTGCATACCACTCCTGTTTGACAGCACATTATTATATGCATATTTGTATTAATAGTTAAAGATGTAATAATCACAGTACATTTTGAGTTATGCTCATAGCATGTGTATATTAGCCAAAGTAGATGTTAGCTAGCTACCTAGTAAACAGATATGGTGCCTAAGTGTAGCTCACATACTCATAAATGACATGATCACTGCTTAACTTTCACCAACTTGCATTTATATCTTCTCAACACGGTGGCAAGGTTAAGGTGTAGGTTGTTAAACATATATGTTGTTCTCTAGGCTTAGATGCCTGTACTATCTCTCATACATGTTTAGATAAAGTGTATGCTGTAGTCCTCCTTTACCCGGAGTGAAGTATAACAGATATACCATCAATGTTTGTACTGTAAACCATGTAGGAAACACAGTTTGACTTGGGAGCTGGAAATAAGTTTGGATGGATTGTTATTTGGTCTGCCTGGATGAGCCTTGATGTTGTGCTGGAAAACAAAGCTCATTTTGAACAAATTAATGTTACAAAGAGATCCTTCTTTCTATTAGCTAATTTGCTATCCTGTTTCATTTGAATAAGTACGGCTATCTAGCATTTGTTAAAGAGACAGCTGTTTCTGGAGTAAATCCCCTAATTTGATCAGCTTAATTGCAATAGATTTCGTAAACATCAAGATTGAATGCAGCAACTTTGTCAGTTAGTACAAGAATGCTTTAAACCTAATCTAATAAAATTGCATAAGGGAACCATTGCAAAGCCACTTACCCTGTAAAAGGCTTGCATACCCATTAGGGTATGCAAGGGAAAAATTCCCTTGGACAGGAATAGATAGCAATTGATTGGGACTTCCTTGAAAATATGTGATCGCTCCCCCTAATTTGTGATTTGGTGAAGCCATTGGGTGGTCTCCAAATGCAGCTTTTGTCATTGGTCTCACTTGTCATTTGATCCCGGATTAAGGGGCCACTTTTTCTTCTAGATCCTAATAAGCCTCATCAAGAAGTCAATAATGTGGTCATTTTAGCCAAGAAAAACCTTGTCTGTTCTCCTTTTAATGACCCTGAAGGGTGCATCCTAATTGTGTTTCACTATCTGCATTTTGCATATTTATTTAAAACCTTTTTACATTGAAAAAATACTCCCTGTACTGTATGTCACAAAGTGCAGTTTTTTATGTTTTATTCTACCAAATTCCTTTTGAATATTTATGAAATTAATTATGTATCTATATTTTTTTCCAAAAGGAAAAAACTATGGATCATTCTAATGTGTTTTTTCTGGTTACGGTAAATGCAAAACATGTGATAAGGCTCTTGTGTTTGCTTAACACAGCTTTGACATGTCTGAAGTGAGCAACCAGCTGCCCAAAGACCCCATATCTGCAGTTGGAGTAATCACTTCCCTCAGTAAGGCCCCTGAAGGCTACTATGTTGTGAGTATTCAGTTTTATTTGTGTGGAAGTGTGTAGTTTGATTTAATATGCTTGGATTAGGCCAATAAAGTTGTTTGCATCTCCTATTCTGTAAAAGCCAAAGGTAAAATAAAATATCTGAGCTGTATATATTATATTTATCGCCTTTTTTGCCATGGATCTCTGCTGTTTGTTGTACATGTCATTGTTGTAGCTTATTGTATTGTAACTAAGCATATCTCAGATCCAGGGTGTTGGCAGCCTTCCAAGGTGTCTTTTTGTTAGAGCTGTTAGATGACTTATTCATAAAGTTTACTTTGATGATTAGGAAGATTCCCTTCCTGACATTGTTGCTGGTTGCCACCAGAATTACAGACACACCAGAGGCAAATATGTAATCATGGTTGGTTAATGCCAAGAAGAGTCATCTAAGTTTACCCCCATTTTTCAATTTTAACCAAGTGCAATGTGTAAGGATGTAGTGCAGGATCAGCTGCTTTATTCAAACCTTTCTTGTTTGTGAAAAAGTGAGTGAGGGGTTACAATTAGAAGTTAAACAAAGCACAAAACAACCTCAAGGGCAGATCCTTCTTTCTCTCTCTTGCTTCCTGTTCAGACTTCTTCTTCTAGCTTTCACTCCTCGCCCCAAACCCCCCCTCTTCCCCCAGTTTTTATCTCTTCCTGCTCCACCCTACACACCCAGCTTGTTCTAATCTCTGGCAGATGATGGTGGGTTGGCATCAGAAGGGAGCCACTGGCAGGGAAGCCGCGTACGCACCACACGGTAGTGACAAACGGAGATAAACCCCATCAGACTTCCTCCGCCGCTGCTCCAGTGCGCCAATACATTTCAGCTGATGTGCAAATACTGTGCATGCTCTGCAGGGCTAAAAGCTAGTCAGTGGCTGTTAATGACACTGGTTTATCTCGGGATTAGATGCTCAGCAAATGTTATTACTTTTTTTTTTGTTAACCCAGGATACACTAGCGGTTTGAAATTTGGAAATAATGTGTACTCAAGATAATGAATTTGAGACATGTTACAAGTGAAGGCAATCAAATGCAAAGAATGAAAGGCCTCATTTGTGTCAGCTTGCGTCACTTCATACATCAACTTCATTAGGTCGTTTGAATCATTTGGATTATGAAAACAACCTGCTACAAAAACATAGACGATTAGTGCAAAGCTTACACAGGTGTACATATATCTGATGAACCCAAAGCACTGCGAAAAATACCAATACGGTTGTTGGCTGAAATAGATAGAACATTTTTAGATGCATGGCAGCATTTAAACATTAAAGCTTTTTTTTGCATTTCTTTTTAACAATGCTTGTGGTGTGGCTTTAAGGATGTTACATTTAGTTATGTCCAGGACAGCCAGTTATACCTCGGGTGGAGATGATATAGTGATAATTCGTTTTTCAAGTCAAATCAATTGTGTTTCTATAGCCAAATTACCCAGATTTGGCTTGAAAGTCTTTACGATCTGTTGACAATATGATACTCTGTTTTTGGACTTGTGATTCGGATATACGGAAAAAATCCCCCTCAAAAATAACAAACATCGGATGGTTTGCAATGACAATTGATACAAATATGCTTTGGGCCCAGAAGATGAATCTTATGTGTGAATACCTTCAGCTGCAGGCTAGTTTTTGTAAGTCCTAGACTAGCAAAGGTTCGCTAGATAGCTTAAAGCCTGTACTTGATACTATCGCATATTGTCATATATTTCTGTCTGTTTGAGATTTCCTTTTACAAATTATAATCAAACAAAAGAACATATCCTTTAATGTTATAAAACATCTTAGTCTTATCCAGGAATGAAAAGTCAAGTACACGTTAACCTCCAAGAAAATAACTCGCAGACTCTGAAGCACTATTTTAAATGCATTTGTCCCATCTTCAAGAACATCTTTTGAACATCACTATGTGGTCTTTCATCTGCAGGCTCCAGATACAAACAAAAATATCATCAGTCGGCATCAGTGTGCTAATGTAGCGCTGAGCAGGGGAAGTCTCAGGATATTAAGCTCTATTGATTTTTTTTCTGCCCCGCTTTCTCACTAGACTTCTTTTAGAAATCTGCCTTAATACTGACTGCTTACCATACTTACCATACTTTTTATACAGCAGATCAAAGGGCTGATTAACTCTTTTGCTCTTACTTGAGCAGGTTGTTCCAACACAAGAGAGCACAGGCCCAGATCAAACACTGCTCCACTGGGATCAGGAGCTGTGCTGAAGCACCAGCAGCCACCCAACATCAAACACCATGAGTAGACTCACGCACTCTCACTCTCTGTGCTAGAGGGTTGCCAAGGGGATGTGTGTGTGTGTTTCAGATTCACCTGAGAGTTTGACATGTTACCCTCAAAAAGTCATTTAATTACGGTTCATTTAAAGAAGCCTAGTACTAGCTGATGATTAGCTTGAAGGCCCAGGCATACAAACCCAGTAGCTGCTTGTCTGTTTTTGAGTGAGAATATTTACTTTAAAAGGTATAGTTTCACATAAGCTCATTCGCTTTCTTGCCAAGAGTTAGGAAAATAGATTCTACTCTCAAGTCTTTACTTCTTGACCAAAGCTAGGGCAAACCTGCTCTAAGATTATCATGATGAGTGGAAGGAGGGAAAAACAGCTTGTGTAGACCTAACTCAAAACATTGAGTTGTTTTATTCATACACAAAGTGCACAGAAGTGCTAGGCAAACAGGCAAACAATAACAATGTCCAAGTCCCACAAAGTGATAATAAGTGAGCTTTAGAGATACACAAATGTATCTCTCTGCGTCCAGTGTTTAGCTAAGCTAAGCTAATAAACCCTCGACTTTAGCGTTAGCTTCTTACCTAAAGCACATCTACATCTCAGAGATTAAGCACTTTTCTGAAAACCTCCAAACTATAACTGAAGGTCAAGGAACTTTATTTCCACAGTAACTGCTGCAGTAGTTCTTTAATATATATAGTCAGTTTATTTATTCCCAGTTTAGAGAAATTATTAGATTACATTACATTGCATTTAGCTGACGCTTTTATCCAAAGCGACTTACAATAAGTACATTCGACCAGGAAGATACAACCTTGAAGAAAACAGAATCATATAAGTACATCAGGTTTCATAGAGCCAAACATTTCAAGTGCTACTCAACTGGCTTTAGATAAGCCAGTCCTTTATTAGTATATAAGTGCTTTGTTAGTAATTCAATCGCTCGAAGTGGAGTCAAAAGAGATGAGTTTTCAGTCTGCGCCGGAAGATGTGTAGGCTTTCTGCTGTCCTGATGTCAATGGGGAGCTCTTTCCACCATTTTGGAGCCAGGATAGCAAACCTACGTGTTTTTGCTGATGGGAACTTGGGTCCCCCTCGCAGTGCGGGTGCAGCGAGCTGTTTGGCCGATGCAGAGCGGAGTGCACGTGCTGGGGTGTATGGTTTAACCATGTCCTGGATGTAGGAAGGGCCAGATCCATTCACAGCATGGTACGCAAGTACCAGTGTCTTGAAGTGGATTCTAGCAGTTACCGGAAGCCAGTGAAGGGAGCGGAGGAGCGGCGTGGTGTGGGAGAATTTAGGAAGGTTGAAGACCAGACGAGCCGCTGCATTCTGGATGAGCTGCAGAGGTTATGGACTGTTATCCATAACAGTTTCCTCTCTTCAGTTTTCTGTTCTCTTTGAAAGAACTAGCATATTTCCCTCTACCTCTCTTATGTCTTCCCCACCTGCTTTCACTCCCCAGAGGTTTCTGATTGTATGCCTTTTCTATATTTTTATTCACAGCTGTGCCTCTCAGTGCATCGTAGTAACTTGCCGGCGGTGTCTGTCTCCAGAGATCCTTCATAGGATTCTTCAGCAGCCCCTAAAGACTTGTTTCATAGGTGGGCTTTTAGATCACTGCCAGCTTTATATTTGAGTAAGTGGCAGATCAATCTGTCATTGCATTTTAAATCAAATAAAACAAACGTTTTTCAATATGAGAGCCGTGACGTTTCTTATCATACGTGTGGCATTCTTCTCATTGTAGTCTGTTTAATGATAGAGCCATACAGTGCCAGGTGCATTTATTAAAGGAGCCATAGGAACTTTACACATGCCTTTTTTTTCCCGTGCCGTGGCTCAGCAGTTGCCATTTCACATTCAACGTGCGTCGCATCCTTGCTGCCGGCGGCTGTGGCAGGATGATGCCTGAGGTGCCTCCGAGGAGGACCGTGCCCTCGTTACTCCTCAACTTGACTTTGGGTTTCACAAAGCGAGCCCTTTGTTTACGCTGACAGGATGCGCTGGCTACTGACCTGGAAAAAGTGGCCAAGACGGCTTGTCTTGTAAAGAAAAGAGGGAGGCTGGTGATGTATAGGCTCCTTCTGGGACCTTTCTTGGAACTGCTGTTGGAGACGCCCCGCAATCCCTCTCTCCCCTCATCTTCTGCTCTTTCTCTCTGTCTCATCCCACTATCCATCTCTGTTCCCCACTCTAGTCTCCGCTCTCGTCCCAGCTAGTCACTGGTGGGTTTTCATGAATCTCCCCGTGCCACGTTTCCCCCCACCCAGTCACCAGGGTCATCCATCATTATTGTCAGGGGGGGTAATGTGTGTGGGTGGGTGCAGAGATCTATGACTTCTTCATTTGAATGAACCTCATTAGATTGACTCTTCTTTGTAAAGGATCCCTTTAGAAAATAACCCTGGCAGTTATCTAGGCGATTCTCACATGATAGCCAATGGAACATGACGCTTCAGCCCAGCATATTTGCCCGAACGATGGAAGAGGTTATGTTTTGCTTTATCATTCTGCCCTGCATACCTACATTTACATAGCAATGTGCTGTTGGACCTTGAGCTTGAATTGTGGTGCCTACATGCTGTCAACATGATGCAATCCTTTTCTTTTCACTGACTCCACTGAGCATTTACATCCATAAATGAGTCCATTGTACAAGGCTGAACAGTTTAGGGTTTTTACTTATTAGTCATACACATGCAATGGCTTTAAATGCTCTGTAAGGTTTTCTTAGAAGACTTTTCTCATTAAATGATAGAAAGAATCCACACAGGGAGTAGAGCAACACAACTATTTAAGGTGCAGTGTTCTTAGTTTACCTCTGTGTTGCTTAAGGTTGGCTTTAAAACAAATACATTCATAATAATCCGGCTGTTTCCCACAAAAGAACATTGAAGTTTGGTTTCCTTATTAGAGCAGATCCTTCTCCGGGTATCTTTAATCAGCCTGGTCCCGAGGGATGATATTTTTAGCCGTCTTTTTGGAGGCTAAGACTTCTTTACCCACGCAGAGCACTAATGAGATGGGGCGCTAGTGTAGGCAAGCGTTAATTAAGGCTAGTATGCAAGGGAAGAGGCAAAAGCAACACGCTCATGGCATACATACATTAACTTTATCCCACCTCCTGCATGTTTTCTTCTCTCCTTGTTTTTGTTCCTTTTTTTTTCACGTAGGTTGCACAAACAACAGATGGCTCTGACGCTGACCTGTGGAAGGACGGCTTATTCAAATCCAAGGTCACTCGCTACCTTTGTTTCACCAGAAAGACTGTAAGTGTAAATATAAACTTCTCCCTTTCGCTGTGCATTCAGCACCAACACATCGTCTGCAGCAGCTTTTCTGTTTGCCAGCAGTTATCAGCCCTGCTTTCTACCGCCTGAATATCTAAATAGACTTTGCACTTTGATCAGTGAAAGTCCCCTTTTTAAAAAGGCCAGCGTTGGCAGTGCAGTTTTAAACTTTTAAATATATTGGATTTGCATGCATATTCCAGATGAATAATATCTCTGAGATATTTTTCATGTTGTGTGTCCTCCTGAGGGTATTATTTATGTTTATTCATGAAATAACAATGAGCTGTTTTTTTTTTAACTATTCCAATTTATTCTATCAACATTGTCCCTGTAGAGAAAATGCTAACCACCAATCAGCGATTCCTGAAAGCTGAGGCACATATAATTGTGATTATAAAAACACTCTTTATTTACGTAAGACATTCCTCCACAAAAAGCACTTATAGCAGTGCTTTATATAGAGAGCATCCTTTACTTCTCTGTGTCTGATTTGATCTTTGAATGTTACTCATAATACTGTTGGGTCAATTGTGTTGGACAGCTGATGTGTTGTTGCCTGGCTGTCAGCTGCTCCTTACCATAAATACACCTTCCTGTCTCGCTCATACAGCTTACTATTGGCTGTCTATTATTTTCCATGGGCTGCAGGAAGATAATGGCGACGGTGTAAACAAAAACCTGCATTTTTGTGATCATTTTGCATCAGCTCAATTTTAGGACTTAATCAAGTCTTTTTTTTCCTTATAGGATGTCCTCTAAATGCCAGGTATCTTGGCAGCGGCTGCCTCGTCCCTGAGTTCAATCTGGTCTTCAGTTTAGTATACAGCATACAAATAGCCTTCCCCTAGTTCCTGTGTATTATCTTAAAATGTGTGTCCACATTGTTTTAGGGACTTTGACACAAATAAAACATGACAGAGCCATCAACAAAGGCTATTTTGCCTGCCACTCACTGGAGCTCCCACTGTAATTGTCTATGACAAAAACAGATTCTGTAAAATTAGCCCCTGAATTATGGGGGGGGGGGGGGAGGAAGTAAATAGTTTGTGATTTATCATACTCTAGGTTGGAGGTGGAAATCCTCTTTTGTCAGGCCCTGATGGAAGAAATCTCTCCAGTAAAAGAGGAAAACACAAGAAAACAAAAGCTTCCATGCATAGTAATAACATTCATCCATATTCCTCCTTAAGTCAGTATAAAAACTATGAATACAAAATGTCTAATGGTAATGACTGTCGGGCAACAGTAGCAGTGAAATCCAGCCTTTTCGGACGCATCAAGTCACGCCTGGCTCGCCCCACTCTCTACTGCCGCTGTGTATTATTGCAATTTATTATGGCAAAAAATGAAAATGTAATGGGAGGCAGGGAAGAGTCATGCTTGAAAATGTCAACTACACAGTCCCTGATTGTTTTTAACCAGTCCCATTCTGTTGATTAGACTGCCTCCTCTGTCTCCCATCATCCCACTGCTTCTCGCCAAAAGGTTGAGAATGATTGCAAGTTCAAAGATGCATTCTCTCATTGCTAAAAAAAAATAGCTATTAGAGAGTAATTACTTCAGCTATTTTGTCAACCCTTCTCTTTAGAGACTTCTCGAGCTTTTAGTAAATCATTGACTCTATTATCTCTACATTTTCTCCCCCCCAAAAAAATGACTAACCTTTTCTTCTTCAAGCTCTCTGTCCTTTTAAGAGTTGGATTTGCATACATGACTTTAAATGTCCTGCCTGCGCTCTGTGTTTTAGGGGGCTGACGTTGTTGTGGACATGAAGCTGATTGACATTAAGGACGCGTTGCCAGAGGGCTTCACACCTGTGGAAGAAACATTGGACACAAGTAAGTAAACAGTCAATACCGGCCGCAGACCCGCTCCCCTCCTCTTGTTTTTTTCACTCTCCGACCAGCTTATGCGGAGGTCCTCGGGGGCAGCTTTGCCTGAGATAGTGAATGTTTTATGGGTGCAGGTTAGCTTAATTTATGGCAGACTGTGGGAATAAAATAAACATTTTGCCCTGGAGGTACAAGAGAAGAGAATCATGAGTCATTGTTTATCTCAGCTGGAGCTGTGCTTTTCTTTATGAGGAGCTTATTTATTTATGTATTTATTTGGGGAAAGGACGAGTGGATGGGGGTTATCTAATATTAATGAAATGCATTCCCCAATGCTTTAGTGCTTTTTGAGTGCTATGTATTTCCCCCTCACTATCCATGCCTTGGAAATGTAATAATATTTTGGTGTGGGGAGTGAGGACAGCTTGTTTATTATTTTTATTATCATTGCATTTACACTGCACTTTCTATTGTTGCAGGGGAAATAAATGAGCCAGGCACGGATGCAATATAGGAAAGCATGGCAATGTTTTTTTTTTTTTTTTTTGCCAGAATGAAGAAAAGAGATTATGTTTTGTTTGGCTGCGGTGTAATTTAATGTTTTATTACTTTATGTGAATCCATGTTTAATGTATACATGTGACATTATGTATGAGGTTCTATCTAGAATATCCTGTTTAAATCCCTGTTGTGCACTAAAGCTGATGGAGGATTCACTTGCCTCTGTCATCTTACCTACTAAAATGATACAAATTATAATAACACATGTGGATATTGTGGCTTTCTGCTGTCCAGTTATTTCCCTTTAAGCACAGCAAGTCACCCAGGAGCTGATATTAGCTCATCTCTTATTCTAAGACTGATAATGACTAAATAGCAAAGCACAAGTGGGGGATGTGAATATATCTATACTTCTCCTTAAGGTTAAAAATGTGGACAGATTTCTTTCTTTTAGCATGAAACTAATACATGATTACGCAACCGGCAATTCCTGTCTGACACCCTCATGTGTACCTGACTCATCAGAGGAAACTGCCATGAGGAAGAGGAGGCTCTGCGTGAAAATCATCCCTCGTTCGGCTGCTGTGACGGCTGTGTGTGACATCCAGATCGTTGCCAAGTCCAAGTACCATCTTGTTAACTACACCAGTATAGGGTGAGCTGTTTGGCACTGGATATAAATACATTCATGATGTTTTGTATCTTCTTGAAGGATTACCAGCTGTTTCAAAGTCAAACACTATCAGCATGTCTCTTCTTCATCTTTACACAGTGAGATCAACAGTATGTTGATGTGGTGCCGAATGGGTGACGCTCCTCAGCATCAGTCGTCCCAGGAAACGTCCAGTGAAGTTGACAGTGCCGCTCCAGCCAACACAGTAAGGTAACATCAGGCCACTTCATTCTGCAGTGCCTCTTGAAGTTCAACTTTCCTCCTGCGTTCCTCTCTTTTTTATTTCACGCCCGGTGTTGTTACGCTTCTGTACCACGTGTACGACAATGGAGACACAAGTCATTGATCACTGCCGGGCAATCTGCCGTAAAAAGGTTGTGGCTGGACAACGAGGTAGCGAGGGTGAACAGGAGAGACAGGCAAACTAGACAGGAACCCCTGAACAAGAACAAGAGTTCAATGAGGGCTAAACTCCTGCTATTTGCGGGTCGTCCCGGGAGGCGGAGGCAGGTCGCTCCTCTGACTGCGGTGACAGGAGCGTTGCTGTGTGCAGAGAGGAGGAGATGTAGCCCGGAGAGCGAGCGACAGCTGCGGAGGAAGGGAGGAGAGCTCCAAGATCTCCGCCATGCTGGAGCGCGTGCGTCCCCTTCCCCTGCTTATGCTGCTCAGGCTTCCTCCGCCTCAGGCCTCACAGTGAACGCAGCAACCTCTTTGTACTGTGTCCAGATCAAACAGCTCAATTATTCATCGCACTGAAGAGCTGGGGATTTCCACAGCAAATTGTAAATAAACAATCGAGACTCCTTCGGCGTGGCGGCGCTGCGGAGAGCGGGGCTTTGGCACGGGGCGCTGATGGGTTTGCCAGCTTGAAGTGCGATGCTTTGCCATCCTGTGCTGGGCTGAGTAAAAGCCACTTAAAAGCCACAACAGGCCGGAGCGGTGCTTGCCAGCAGGCGTATTCAACACAGAGCTTCTGTTCACACGGCCACCCAGCGGGATGAGATCATTCAAATGGACAGCCGTGAATTCGGAACCAAAAGTTCAAACCGAGCAGAGTTGTGTGAATCGTCCACATTTGGGAAATTGATGGTCAATAATCTTTGATGTGTCGAAGCGATGGTGAGCGCTCAGGCCCATGTGTACGCCTTAGCGACTCTTACCGGTAAGCCTCCGTTCTTTTGAAGCCCACTTTCAAGTTGGCGAGGCTCAGAGGTTGGAATAAATTGCACCTCGGAGCGACTCGCACCCCCTCCTGATGCCTGCTGAGATCACAGGCGGCTGTTTTTGTATTAACATTAAAATTCATTCCACAACCAGAGAGTCTTCTTTTGAGAGTATTTCCATCACATAAGGACGGGACTGTGGGCAATTTAGACAGCGGCAGTTCTTTGACTATTTATCTGGCATCCTCTCTGTGTAGTTACATGCACTTTAGACAACCATACACACAGATATAAATATTTCTGTAGTTTCTTTGAAGTCACAGATTAGTTTGACACAGTGATTTATAAGCATCTCCGTAACACTCCCTGATTGCTCAAGTAAGTACAGTCGTGTAACTGTGTGTAGTATCACGCCACTATACTTTATTCATATTCAGCAAGAGAAGATCCTCTCCTCCATACCTCCTTCAGGCTATCTATAACAACTTTATGGCCTTTGGAGAATAGCACCTCTTAAATTTAACTGCTCTTTACAGTCAGTGGAAAATATGTTTTAAATACAGTCAATAATGTGTAAGTTTTTAATGACCCTTATAATTTTGAAAGCTGCAGTGATCCCTCTCCAATGTTTCTCCGCCTCAGGCAGCGAGAGCTTGTTAGAGTTGTGTACAAACGTTCACCGCAAATCAGCTTTTTTCAGGAGTGCAGAGCTGCAGAACACAGCACACTGCAGGCTGTTGCATCAGTATGGGATGCACGGAGTCATTGCATCAAGGCTAAGGTGTTGTATTTGAATTGTTTTTGTATTGTTTTGTCAGCTGGAAACAGGATTCCTGCAGCTCTTGGAAAGTTTAAAAAAAAATATGAACTTTTTTCCCAAGGGATTTGATTTACGAAAGTCAGAAATTAATTCTTGTTTTGTATCACCTATAAAGTAATAAGTAGGATTGTGGCAACAACCTAAAGCAACTATTACCACTACAGCTAGCTACAGAACTTAAGAAGTTCTAATGTTGATTTTAACAAACATTTAAATGTACTTAAAGAACTATGCCTGCAACTAATAATCAATTTCCCTTTAGATTATTTCTATTATTTGTAAAGACACAGCTCAAGGTGATATCAATTTGCCTTTTTGATCCATCTAACAATCAAATACTTAAAGGATACATCAGATCATTTTATAACCAGCAATGTTATGAATGTTTTTTTTATAGAGACGAAAGTGAAAATTGAAAACTGATTGATTGACTAATTGATTAATTATTTTTAATTGGCTATCCATCCGTCCATTCATCTATCCATGGCCAGCGTTTTTTGCTTGATCCCATTAATTGAATTGATTCAATCATAAAGTGATTACTATTATATACTGCTGGGAAGTACTAAAAAAAGAATATTGATATAATAATAAAGAATTCTTGACCCTATCAGCCCCACTGGTTTTCCATCATACTTTTATGCTTTGGCTGGTATCAATGTGAAAAGGGTTATAGACCTAATGCTGTGGACCTTTCTAATTCTAATTGGTAGACCCTGCAACCTTGCAAAAAGAATCGGAGGAATTAAAAAAGGAATTGTTTTATCAAGTAGGATCGAGGATAAAAGCTAAACTTACAACACTTATTTCTTATTGGCTCTGGCTGTCTCACCATATTGAACCACTAAAGCTGGTACAGGCCTGTTATACAAGCTGCTGCTGCATTTGAACCTCGTGTGTTTAATGTCCCTTTATCAAGTTTGTCTAAAGCGCCTCACCCAGCCAGTGCGTTCTGTTTTGATTCATAGCTGCAGCTTGATGTCAACCACTTTGGCTTGTTCTCTGTCAAGACGGAGCGTATCAGCCGACTTTATAATGTGGGAAACCTGCGCCATCCGGTCAGCCTTTTAATGTGTCCAGTAAAGTATCCCCCTCCTTCCTTCTCCTGGCCGACGCTGCCATTTGTTCTCCTGATAAAACTGTCATTGCTGAGGCTGATATCTGACCTCTACAGTGACTGCTAGCATAAATTAGCCTCGTCCTAATATTGCAATTCCTTTCGCTTCACTCAGAATCAAGGTTTTTGACATTTCTCTTAGAATAATAGGCTATTGTACACACGGACACTTTTTAAATCAAACTGTACAGCGATAAAAATGTCAAGGCTGAGTATCTCTTTTTTTTATCATTTCATACTAGAGTTGGCTTTTCCTTGAAGCCTAGAGAGTCATCAGTGTCAGAATTGGCATGCATATCAATATGTTTCAGATAGCGCTGTCTTTTACCTGTGACACTCTGCAGGAGTATTGTATCAGCTTTCATTGCTTGCTGGTTAACCAAGACTTCCCGCCGCACGCGACTGTTGCCGAGACAGAGACACCGCGACTGTCAGTGTGCGCCTGACACATCTCAGAAGTGTTGAAGAACAATCACTCCCCCTTCAATCTTACTCATTACTTTCTTGTGTTTGGAAAAAGTTGCCGAAAAAGTAGCGTGGATCAAGCAAACGGACGTGGCGCGGTGCCAAGAAGGATCGAATGATCAGCTGAGATCTGATGGGCGATGTGCGGTGATTTGCCACCAAATTCAGAGAGATCCTCTTTTCAACACCTGACACAGAGCTTAAAGGAGGATAATGATGGGTGAGAAAGCAGCTCCCACAAAGCAGCACTGTTGGCACATAGAGGAAGGTGTGGAGATGTTGTCACGGGAAACGCTGGATGTGTGTCAAAACAAGAGCTCTCAGCTTTCTGTATCGCTGCGCTGATATTACTCTCATCCTCATCTTACTTCTACGCTGAGTACCGCTCGTCTGTCCCCACCGACTCTCCCACTTTTTTCCCGTAACGGAGATAACTCTTTTCCTTACCCCGCACGGAACAACTTAAAGAACTAAAAAAAATCTGTTGAACTGTAATTGGTGTTGTCAAGTAATCCTTAGTGTCGTGGTTTGCTTCGAAGAGCTAATATGATTTTAACTGCGGCAGATTTCATGGGAACATAAGACTCTTGATCTGCTTCGTAATTGTGTAAATCTTTCAGGCCGTGTTCCCAGTTTTACTCTAATTTGATGAGGAACTACTCTATAATTGAATATTCAAATTAGGAATATGTGTCAATATGGCTCTCCTTGCCTGAAATGAGGATTAATTGTTGTCAAAACTCCAGTGGCTGACATAATAGGAGCGCCGACACTGCTGTTGATTAGCAAATGCACTTGCCATGTTTTTGTTTTAAGAATTAGATGTCTAATTGATTTGCCATATGTTACCCTCTCCAATGCACCTAAAATTGTATTTAGAAATCACCAATTTGGATTGAGACAGTTTTGTGTTTCAAACAGATGGGAAAAGAAACCCTAGAGGTTGCCTGTAGAAAAATTATTTCATGAGCACAATTCCCTGGTTTTACATCAAGTCTTTGGGGCTTTAAGTACTTTGTGGTTTTCAGATGCATAGATCAATCGGCAGACTTATTCGTTCTCTGTTCTCTTTGTTTATTCTGCGTACTAATTGAACAGAACAGACCAAAAGGACATTTAAACCCCCACAC